CAAATTAGTTGTATCTTTCACAGGGAACTACTTGACATATTACATCACTGTCTTCCTTCAACTATAAGTTTATAACTGAACTAGATCATGCTGGCGTAAGTGGGGGTGGAAACAAGCATTGGAGTGGAGAGCGTCAATTGCTAAACATTTCATTGACGAGTGGGAATGGCAGTTGTCGATTTTGCAGCATCTTCTTTCATTATCTGAACGCCAGTGGCAGTGGAAAGAGGCATTAACTGTATTACGTCCCGCACCATCTAAGCTACTTAACCTGCGAGTTACAAGCATTTTCTTCTTTGGGAATTTATATGATGATCAATTGGTTCTTGTGCATGAATTGCTTTTTGGATATTTGTTATAGATCACTGGTTTGCAAATGGTAGCTTATCCTATAAGAAAATGGTAGTTTATGACGATTATAAACTATAATGATCACCCATGCCAAACAAAATATGATGACCTCATTATTCCAAAAGATAGAAATAGATGCTGATATTTGAAGATGATAGTACACAATCAGTTAATATGAAATTGCTGATATCTTACTTTCTGAAGGTAACTATTGTAGGTGTTCTTATTTATGAGAAATATACTTTAGTTTCTATGAAGTTTTATGCATAAATTATCTGGTTTTGGAGAGCATGTTTTTCTGGAATTGCCCTTATTTATTTATTTTTTTTAAGGGAAGGAAGGGTGTGTTATTGGCTGCAATTCCAGGAACCAAAATATGGTCCCAAACTGCAAAATATATCTGCATCCCCACACTGACCATTTTCCCTGGGGACATTAATAATTAATGTTGTAACCTGCTCCTGATCCTTCTCCAATCGTAGTATAGAAACCATCATCAATAGATGGATAAAAGGCTTTCGAACTAATGCCCAAAAGAAGCACAGCTCCATACTGTCATCATAACTAAGAACTTCGATCTTATGTGAGACAAGTCAACCAAAAAAGTTACAAGTTAAAAATTGTTCCAATGAGAAAAACTTTTGATAGAATGCAAAGACTTAGAAATTGTTATGTCACAAATTCCTTGAAAGTGTAAAAAGCCCCTTGAAAGGAACTTCAAAGTCAAGAAAACAACAAAGGAATGTCATGCAGCAACATATTAACCACACTACATGAAGAAATATAACTTAAACTTTGTGTATGTTACACATAAGCTTAAAAGATCAAGCAAAAGAAACGAGTATGAGTTCAAAATTATGGCATGCCTATGAAACGAGAATCAGTTCCTCGGGGCTAGGCGAGTCCTCTGTTTCGGAAAAAAAAAATAGTATAGCCGCGCGGCTATACCTTTATATAATATATTTAAAGAGTGTAGCTAGCTGGCCGGCTGTACTGGGGTCCCTTTTTTTATTTTTATTTTTTAATAAATAGTATAACCGATCGGCCACTTTTTAAATATACATATATTTATCTATACCTTCTATATATATAAAGAAAAAGGCAGAGAATGGTGAAACATTCAAAATACCAGAAAATGTCTTTAGTTAATTCAAACATTAAGAATTAAAATTATTAATTAAATGAGGATACTATGGTACATTCACATTTTTTCATATTTAAAAAAATTAAAATTAAAAACAAAAACAGATACTAAGCCCTACTATTATGGAACATAACTACTTATGTTATATTTTCTTAATTCTAAAAATAAAATAAAAAATAAAAAAGAAAACCAATTGGCACATGTGTGAGCTTGTGCCATGTGCCAAGGGGCTAGTATCTATAAAGTATAAACTAATGCAAATTGAAGGGTCTTTTTAATTTTTTTTTTAATAAATAGTATAGCCGCACGGCTATACTATTATTATAAAAAACTAGTATATGGGCGCTAGATGTTCCCTTCTTTTTTTTTTTTGAAGTGACTGTAATTGCATACCCTTATAGCACATGCACATTGCAGTGGCATTTTAGGAGATCCTTCCTCACACAATTTGGAACTTCATGAATCTTTGCCCCAAATATGAAGCACTTGCGTTCATTTGTTGAAAATGCTTTAAAAGAATTACCAAATTCGAGTTCATTGAGATCCCTTTCACTATAAGAACAAGGTTTTTGAGGTTGAGGCAATGACCCTTCACCACTTAGCACTAGAACTATAATTGGCATGCTCGGCCTATCTCTCAGGTTACGCTGCACACATAAAAGACCTACATGCATGAGATAATCTCAAACTTCATGTGGATCACCTGAGTCTCCTATTGATGTATCAAGAACTTCAATGGACCAGCCTTCTGTGTATAGCATCCATGCCTAAAAGAATTTATCAAAAGTTCAAAATCATTGTGCTTAGTTAAAAGAAGAAACAAAAAAAAGCAATAAGTAAATCCTATGTTTCTCTTCCCATTCAATATCTCTACCACCAATCCACCAAAACTATAGACAGCATATTTATCGAATAGAACTCATCAATTGCGTATTTTGAGGACATGTAACCACTACAAACCAGTCAATCAAGTATACTATATGTATGTATTGGTTCTTTTGTGATATATACTACTATGTTGCAACCACTTTCTTGGTTTTTAAGAGCACTAATAATTCATAAAAATTAATTGCTATTTGATAAGTAATTTATGAAACAAATAATAAGTAAAAGCTAATTAGTAATTATATTGATCAAATAAGACTAAAGATATTATTCAATTAATTAATTATATTAATTAAAAAAAAAAAAAAAAAAAAAAAAAAAAAAAAAAAAAAAAAAAAAAAAAAAAAAAAATCCCCCCTCCCAATTAAAAATTAAAAAAAAGAAAAATAAAATTAAAACATAATAATTACTATTTATTAAGTAATGTAATTTATGAATTTAATTAAAATATTTAATACTAATTGTTCACTAAAGAAATAATAATTAAATAATTACTAATAAAAGTAATTAAAATAAAGCAAAGATATTGTTTAATTACAAAAAAGAAAATAGAAAAACCTAAAGAAACTAATTTTATATTCCATAGAGCCGCCGCCAGGCGCCGCCTAGGCACCGCCTAGCCCGATTTGTCGAAAATTTCCTTGTGATTCTTTATGTTATCAGCTTGATCTTGCCTCTTCTGTTGCCTGCGTCAATTCTGGTCAATCATGGAATTGAAAATTATCGTTGATGTTGTCTGCTAAAGAACAAATGGCATGCGAAGATCACCTGTTAGACCATTTTGTTGAGAATTTCGTACTGGAAATCAAAGTCCACTTCGGGTAAGTCCTCAAAATCCTCAAAATAATCTTGTTCTGGTCTATTTCTTTGTTGTTTTTACAAGGAAAACAGTATCTTATTCAAAACAGAGAAAGAAAACCTACATGAAAGATGGGCTAGAAAGAAAACAGAGAAAGGAAAACTATTTCTTTGTTCTTTTCGTCTTCAAAGATATCTTGTAGAAAACCATCGAAATCAGACCAACAATCATGACACGACATATGAAATCAGATTACATTCAACCCAAAACTCTGTCCAATCAACATGACTTACACCAAAGTAGTCTTTGGAATGCTTTAACAAACACGCCCCAAGAGAAGCTAATATAATATTTCTGTTAGTTTTGATACGTTAATATAATAATACTATCATATTATGTTGTAACGCGCAAGTTTGTGGGAGTCTTTTTTGTTGTGCGTGCGTGCGTTATGCATCCAAGGGAGAATTATGGCCCAATCCCAAAAATGGATTTCTCCAACCCTTAAATTAGATCTGCAAACGAATTTTGCACTCAATGTATTTCATATTTTTTGTCATTTTGGGATTTGACATGTTTTTCTTCACATGTTGATGGTTTCGCGTTTCTCTGTTCTATTTTATTATATGGTAGGATGCAGCATATTGAACTTATGCACATGTGGTATGACTGGTGAAGTTTCATGTTTTCCTTTCAAATGTAAATGCTCTCAATATGTTTGTGATATATATCATCAGTTTTATTAGTTTGCTGCATCTTTTTCCCTGTTCTTTCCTTGTAATTATTTTATAATGCTTTCTGTAATGATGCAGATCATGATGATGAATGTCATAAGTTCGCTTTTAAATATGGATGATCTTTCTCTCAATTTGGCTCATTGTGCCTCGCCTTGGAGCTATTCTGAATCACATTACACATGTGCTTCGGAGCAAACTGATCTAACACGTGAAGAGGGAAACAAATTAGTTGTATCTTTCACGGGGAACTGCTTGATATATTACATCGCTGTCTTCCTTCAACTATAAGTTTATAACTGAACTAGATCATGCTCTAAGTGACGGCATAAGTAGGGGCGGAAGACAAGCATTGGAGTGGAGAGCGTCAATTGCTAAACATTTCATTGACAAGTGGGAATGGCAGTTGTCAATTTGCAGCGTCTTCTTCCTTTATCTGAACGTCAGTGGCAGTGGAAGGAGACATTAACTGTATTACGTCCTCACCATCTAAGCTACTTAACTCTGGGAATTCATATGATGATCAATTGGTTCTTGTGCATGAATTTCTTTTTGGATATTGGTTATAGATCACTGGTTTGCAAATGGTAGTTTATTTATAAACTATAATGATCACCCAGGCCAAACAAAATATGATGACCTCATTATTCCAAATGATAGAAATAGATGCTGATATTTGAAGATGATAGTACATAATCAGTTAATATGAAATTGCTGACAACTCAAGTACTCGTCGCATTTTGGGGGTTGAGGGAGTACTAACCAGGGGAGTTGAGGAGCACTGGGGATGTCTCTTCGCATAGCAACTGATCGCCAAGACTTGCGGACAGATTAAATTCAAGCGTTGTTGAATTATCTCCATGATATCGTCAGGGGGTGGTGTCTGCCAGCGACTGCTGCACTCATGATCAATATTGTAACAAGTAGAAGTAGTGTGGTTTCTAAACATAAATAAGAGAAAAGAGAGGCAACGCATGTCTTCCTTTTGCTTTCTCATGCGTCTCTCGTGTTGAGCTTGAGGTTGTTTTATCTTGAACATGTCAATTCTGGTTCTTCTTCCAGTCTCCCTTCTTCTCGGAACATCCATCCAATGACTACCAGGTCCAAATCTGGTCTGTGTCAGAAGAAGTCTTTCGAGGATTATCAGTGTTTTACTTATATGCATGACTCTACTACTCTTGATGAGCCTTCTACATTTCGTGTGGCTTCTTTCTCTCCTGCCTGGATTAAGGCTATGGAGGAAGAGATTTTTGCCTTAACAATGCAGGGTACATGGTGTCTAGTCCCTCGCCCTGCTAATACAAATATTGTTGGCTCCAAGTGGATTTACAAGATCAAAAGAAATTCAGATGGGACAGTTTCTCGCTATAAAGCTCGACTGGTGGCACAGGGGTTTAGTCAAGAGGCTGGCTTTGACTACGATGAAACCTTCAGCCCAGTGGTCTTACTTACTCTTCGTCTGTTCCAGTTTCTGTGTCTGCATATAGTGATGCAGATTGGGCTGGGGATATTACCACTCGACGATCAACCACAGGATTTGTTGTCTTCTTGGGTTCCAATCCAATTTCATGGCAGTCTAAGAAGCAGGGGTCTGTCTCCCGTAGCTCCACTGAAGCTGAATACCGTGCTCTTGCTAATGCTTCAGCAGAGGTTGCTTGGATTCGTCAGATACTTGCAGATCTTCATGTCTTTCTCCCAGATCCTCCTCTGTTGTTTTGTGATAACATGTCTGCGTTAGCTCTCAGCTCTAATCCCGGGTTCCATTCTCGCATCAAACATTTGGATGTCGACTTCCATTTTGTTCGAGAATGTGTACAACGCAAAGACTTCTTAGTGCACTACTTTCCTACTGATGAGCAGGTGGCAGATGTTCTTACTAAGGGGCTTCATAGTCCAGTATTTGTTAAGCATTGTACCAATCTCAGTTTAGGCACCCTGACTGAGATTGAGAGGGGGTGTTTACCCAATGGTTAGAGTTGGTTAGAGCTGTTAACATTGTTAGGAGGTTGGTTAGCTTTGCTGTCAACGGTTAGCAGGTTGGTTAGCTTAGCTGTCAGCTGTTAGCATGGTTATGAATATATATATATATATATATACTGTACTGTAACAAAATGTTTTTTTAGTAAGAAATATATCATTCAGTTTTCTCATCTGCTCTCAGAAACTTCTAAACAAACACTTTCCTCTCTATCTCTTTTACCATAGTTATCACTTACCAGCCGTAAACAAAGACTACAGAGTCAAGAATACAAATTATCAACCCAAAAAAAACCTCTGATAAAGATTTTTTCGTGGAGCTAGTGAGAGATTGGGTGAATATGTAAGATGAAGGCTAACCAGACTAGGTGAATGCATATACATAGTGCTCTAAAAGCCATTGAATGAAAAGCTCAATATTTGAATCATAAAAAGGTAATCAAAGACCGCCGACCGCTGATGTCATCCTCTATGACGATTGATCCAACGACGTGTTTGAATTAGTTCTTATTCTTCTGGATGCTTTGTGGAATTTTTTTTTGCCTTTTCCAAAATGTTTTGTTGACTAGAGAAATGCGTAGCTGACTGAAGGACATAGAGAATAAGGACGATGCTTCACTCCTTACCTTAAGCAGGAAGTGTTCCTTACTCACTAACGTGCCTCATCCACAAACGTATACACGTTCGTAATTCACCGCATAAACTTTAACTTTGCTTGGATGTACAACCTCTCATAACTTCCGTCCAAAATTCCGGTAAATATAATTATTTGAATGAAAGTTCCAATGTTATCCCTCTAATAAAAGAAACAAAGAACATAAAAATAAAATAAAAAATGAAACAATTTTTAAAAAGAAAAAAACACCACCTCCTCCTAGGGAAGCAACGTTGGAGAAATAATTACCAAAAAGGCATATTTTTATGACAAAGCCTACTTTCCAGCAAAGAAACCAATATGTCAAGAGCAAATTCCAAACTCAGTTTTTATTATGCTGTGTCAAAATCATTACAAGGTGCCGAATATTTTCCAAGATTCTTATCATCTAAGTATATGTATCCATTGCTGTTACAGTCAAAAGCACCCATCCATTGCTGCGGGAGTCAAAAGCAAAGCAGTCCCCATACATGGTGTGACTATTTTGTACCCAATCACAGAATTTTTTCTTAAAGATTACACCAAATAGCTTTCTGATATTCCTCCCAACATAAAATGATCTCTCTTCTCTCACCCAAACTCTGCAAAATTGTATTTACACACAACGTTGTACATGTGACACATACTGATATCCCACAGCAAATGTCACGAAATACAAATGTTTAATTTGACTTCCTCCTGTGTGCTAAGAGATCCTAAACAGAAATTCTTCATTTCAGGGCATTAATGATCGTCGAAAGCATATATAAGATGAGAAAAACTTGTGAGGTACTGTAGCTCCATAAGTTCCAAACAACTTTAGCTGAGGGAGAATGCTGTTTTCCTCTTTTTCTTTGTGGAAAAAAAAAACTAATGCTCATTTTTTCTACAAAGTTTTAGAAAAGTCAAGAGCTCACAATAAAGAAGTTGCTCACAATAAAGATACAACAACAACAACAAAAAAAACTCTAACAACGTATATGGAGGCGATGCAACTTACTAACAATATCCTTAATACAAAAGTTTTGGTTTTTCATCGAGTTGGTGAGAGGTTGGGTGAGTAAGATGAAGGCTACCAGAGTGAAGAATGGATATCTCAAGTGGAAAAAAGGGTTACTTTCAACCCCACTTTGAAGCAGCTATTGATAAACCCACACTGCGCACTATATCAGGCACTTTGACAAATCGTTCCTTGTCACCGTCCAACAACAAAAGACAACTTTTGAGTATGTCAACCAATGTTTCTACGCAGTTCCATGCCTCAGTCTCGGAACCAATGCCCTTAAATAGCTCAACTCTAATCCCAGATTCAACTAAATCTTCAACCCTTATATTAATATTGCTTTGCTCAGGTAGGCAGCACAACAGAAAAAATGTTTTCGCTTCCCTGCTTCCTAAGCACTCGTAACTCAACTCTATTTTTCGATACACTTCTTGCATCATTCCTGGGATGTTTGCTGGGCAAGGCTTTCTTAGTTGTTTCAGTGCATCAATCCACACTTTCCTGCTCTTTTGATGCAGTGCCCTTCCAACTGTTGCAATTGCAATTGGTAAACCAGCACATTCTTGTAGAACCTGTTGTGCTACTGGAAGCAGCTCGGGAGATTCAATGGAACTGCCTGCCATCTCCCTAAACAAACTCCACGCTTCTTGTTCTAGCAACACACCAACCGAAAAAATCTTTTTGGTTCCGGCAAACATATCTTTGTTTCGCGACGATACCAAAATCTTGCAACCTTTCTTATCACAAGGAAGTGGAATTCCTAATTCCTCCAAATTCAGTGGTATAGAAACATTGTCCAATATTAAAAGGACCCTTTTATCCCCTGATAATCTTTGGCATAAGCTATTTGCTCTTGCAGATAAAGGTTGTCCTGCAAGTGATAGTCCTAAACAATCTGCAATTTGATCTTGAATACATTTAAAGTCAAGGTTTGGGGTAAAAACTGCCATCACAACCTCATCATATAGACGCCATGCTTTTGCTCTCTGACCAACTTCTTTCACCAAGGTTGTCTTGCCAATACCTCCCTTTCCACATATTACAATCGGATTGATTTGATCGTCTGCTAGAGCTTCCATTATGCCTCTGAGGATCGAATTTCTTGATTCAAAAGCAATAGGTCCTTTCGGTGTAGATTCCAGTAACAACTTGAAATTATTTTGGGCTCTCATCTCAACACTGGCTGGTACATTCATGAGTCCTGACATCAACATGATCTTGCACCTTCCGTTTGTATCGGTATCACCATAAGGGATTCCGATGGCCACAAGATCAGGCATGTCCCGGACATTTGCCAATACTACAAGCAACCTCCTAGAGTCTTGGGACATTCTAGCATGTAGCACCTGCGCCCGTTGAAACAAACTCCCATTCCCCAGATTCAGTTGTAGCATTTCTGCAATCTCACCTTGTATTCGTCTCAAGTTTGCATTAAGGGACACAACTGCCATCACAACTTGTTCAAATAGATCTTGCTGTTTCACTCTCTCGATGAACTCTTTCATTGTAACGGTATCTCCTCCACTGAATCGCAGACAATTAATGCCAACCAGGTTGGTATTTTCATCCTGCAGAACCCTCAAGACCTCCTGTGTATAAGGTAATCTATATTCCAAACGCTCAGAAAGTTGCATAGGTGCTGGTGGAGGAAGTAAGGCTGGATGTTTTTGAGGAGCTAGTAAAAGAAGCAATACGAAAGACAAATAAGAAACAAAGGAGCTTCACTTCTTCCAAATAAGTGAAGCAATGGCAAAGACAAAGAAAGAAAGAAAGAAAGAAAGCAACAGATGAAATTTCCACGACAAGAGACAAAGAATGAAAGAAAGCAGCGATGAGCCAGATAGAGTTGATTGTATGGCAAGAAACTTTATGAAAGGTGCTCTCAAAGTCAAAGACCGCGTCCGCCACTGGGGTCTCATCCTCTCTTTATGAACCCAATTAAGTGTTCCCATTCCCAGTCAGTTGAATGGTTTTGTTGAATTTTCTTTTTCTTCCCAAAATGATTCGTTAATTAGAGAAATAATATTTTTGTCACGAAGCCAGCGTTCTTGCAAATGAAAGCCAATTTGTCAAGCAAATTAATTCCAAATTATGACAATTTCCAAACCATGCAGTTTTTATTTTATTATTGTATGAAGATTTTTACAATTTGGCCGGCATTGTTGAAGATTCTTTGGGGAGGTGTATATGGGGGTGTATGTTAAATATACATCTCGAATCACCGAAATCGTCTCCAATGGGGATATGTAAATGGATGTAAATATACATCACCATCATGGGGATGTAAAATAAAATTTATATTTACATCTATTTTTACATTCCTTGCAGGCGGGACCCACCCGAGAAAAGAGAAGAAAAATGAAGAAAAATCAACATAAAAGGATGGGACCCACGGCTACACCCCGAATTTACATCCCCTATTGGAGCAAAAAATATATTCACACCCCCCGGAGGTATAAAGGGGATGTAAAAGTGACTTTACACCCCCGAATTTACATCCCCCATTATGAATGCTCTTATCAAACATATATCCTTTGTTTGTACAAGTATGCTTCGAGAACTGGTCCATCCATTGTTGTTGCAGTCAAAAGCAGCCCATCAAGGGAAAGAATCTAACCACAAATTAGCAAGAGAACAGACAAAGTTGACTAATTAAACCAACTAAAATTAAAAATCAAATGCATTGCAAAGGACTCACTAGTGTAGTTGTTTGAGAAAAGTCCTGAATTTGAGTTATAGTATTCGTGTGATATATATATGAGTTTCATATATTATCACTTCTCTCAATAGAAATTGTCCTAAAAAAACTAATAATTAATTAAATTTATAGAGTTTTTAACTATAGAGGTCCCTGAGTTTTACTCTGAATTTCAATTCAGACCCGCAACTATTTTTTGAGGCAATTACTTCCATTAACTTAATAAATAGTTGCAATTGAGTTCAACCGTGATCCTCTGTCAATTTGGCTATTAATTAGGGGTTTAAAACCGTCAATTAAGTCCTCCCACTCCCAGCATCATCGTCTTCTTCTATTACGCCGAGATAAAAACTCAGACACTCACCCACGCATTGATCTCTCTCTGTATTCTTCTCCCACCCCTACAGCATCATCGTCTTCTTCTCCCGCATTTGGCTGAGGTTGAAGGACTTAGAGAAGCCACAAACAAGGTAGAGATGGGTAGGGGCCCGACCACGCAGTGTCTTGTAAGCCTCAATCACCAAAATGACGTCGTTTGCAGATTTGGGAGTGGGGTCGGTGGTGATTGATGGCTATGGTGGGAGCAAAAGCACTTGTGATGGTGGTGGTAGCTATGGGGGCGAGGGGTTGAGGAGGTAGTAGAGGAATTCGAAATTACGCTTTTAGCCCTCATTTTGGGGGCCAAATTGATAAATTTGTACCGTAGGTTGTCGAGTTAACAGATATAATTGCTTTAAAAAAAGTTGCAGGGCTCAATTGCAACTTGAGGTAAAATTCAGGACCTTTACCTGTTTTTTATACATGTTTGGTAATGTACCCCTAGAACCTACATGGGGATGATGTGCCCATGCGACTGAATGCAATTGTGAACTCATTAGGTTCTAAAAAATTACCAATCCCGATATGATTAATGGTAGAGAGCTGTTTACGAATGGCCCCAAAGTGAAGAAGACAATTGCTTATTATCATATTCTTCATTTTGGGGGCATTCGTAAACGATTATCTCTTCCTTTTATTAATTGTCATCCTAATGAACATTTTCCTTGAGGTCCAAAAATATACCAGAAGAATTTTTTGAGAATTATGAGAAAAAAAACTATACATATGTGCTACTAAACCTCCATAGAAGGCGCAAATCAGCATAATGAAATAATTGAGGTACACACAACATTCTACATGTCACGAAATACAAATTATAACACAACAGAAATGCAATTGCAAATCTTTATGGATCTAAAAATGCAGACCAGCTTTCTTCCCTACTGTCATTGAGCTCCTGCCAAAGATTCTCCCCCGCGCCACTGATACTTTTTTGACTTCCTTTGCTGTCCTAAGAGATCATAAACAAAAATTCTTCATTTCAGGACATTCGTCCACAATGATCATTTCCACTAATGGCCATTTGAAAGCATATTTTCCATGAGAAAAACTTGTGAGATACGGTAGCTCACTAAGTTCCAAGCAACTTAGCTGAGGGAGCATGCCATTATCCTCTGTTTCTACCACCTCTGTAGTGACTATTTCTTCTATCTTCAGGCACTTGCTTATAGATAGATTTTTTGGGTTCTCGAGACCTCTGGTAATGGAAGGAGAGAGCAGATTTCTCAAATTGTTACAGTCAGAGACATATAATGATGTTAGATTCTGAAATCCTTGAGATTGCGGCGAATCCATCTTGCTTATTTGCCTTCCTTCAGACTGGGAAGTTGAAGGTGTTTCCCTTGACTGTGAAGTTGCTACAGCATGCCCTTCATTGGCAGGCAACTCTCTGAATTCAAAAATCTCTTCCAGTAAATTGCAATTTCTCACATTTAACTTCTCTAGTTTCTGCAATCTGGTTTGCATGTACATTGGTACTAATCTGCTACAATTGGACACGTTTAGATCTCTTGGTTCACAGAAGGAGTTGAAGTTGTACATTTGACGGATTTCTAGTGTCTCCAAGACTGGTAAGTCAACCTGCAGAAATATACATTGAAATCTATTAGCACTAGCATCGTCTCATGAGAAACAAAAGGCTAGCTTGAGTTTCCTTTTCAGTGTCAAAGCAATTTGTTTCACATGTTATCCAACTAAGAGAACTAGGTTTTTACATATATGTTAACGGTAATACATATTTAGGATGTGCACGAAAAATGAGACTTGATAGAGGGGACACCTTACGATGCCTAGTTTCAGGATTTAAGTGTTAAAGGATCTCCAAAGTAGTCAAGTGAAGCAAGAAAAGTAAATCTGTAATAGCTGCATAAGTTTCTGCTTCCTCATCATGATATTCCTCAATCTTCCAGTCAACGAACCTCGTGTGCTCTTCTCGTGACCCCAGAAATTCTTCCTCCAATGTGTCTATTTGTTCTTGTTCTAACTGGGCTTCCACCCGATCCATGCATGGTTGGTCTAGTACAATAGGGGTTTGATCCCCTACCACCCATTGCCCAAAGTTATTCCACATGTACAGTTCTTCTAGTAGAAAAAACTTTGATATGACACCCGGTGAAATTACTTTAAGACTATTGCATCCTGTCAAATCCAGCACCCTTAGATCAATCAAATTTTTGCATTCGTCAGGTAATTGTTCGATGTAAGATCCACGCAGGCTGAATGTCATGAGTGTTCGTAGGTCTCCAATGACAGGTCCAATGTCCAAATTCAGATTACAAGGCTCTAGACACAGTGTCTGAAGGTTTTTCAAAAGTGGAAGTGATGGCAGTATTGGCTGTACAAATGTGTTCTTCATAGCTAAAACCTTGAGATTTTCCATTCCTTCTAAAATAGTGGCCGTTGGTTTCAATAAACATTCATCTGGACATGACAACAATAAAAAGCTCAGGAGTTTCATTTGTTATCAGTGTACTGCAGATGTATTGCCCCGAAACGTAATTGTTAGGCCAACCATTCAGTTCCGCCCCGTATCTTACCACAAATACATCTCTACTCTTAGAAGCTATTGATAAGACTGCATCCCGCACCACATCATGCATCCTGACACACCCCTAAACCCAATGGAACTGCCTGCTATCTCCTTAAATAGATCCCATGCTTCTTGTTCTGTCAAAACATCGATAGCAAAATTCTTTTTGGTTTCCATATCATTGAATATATCCTGGTTTCGTGATGTTACCAAGACTTTGCAACTCATTTTATCACAGTGAAATGGAATTCCAACTGTCTTCAAATTTACTTGTGTAGAAACATTGTCCAATATTACAAGGACCCTCTTAGTACCTGATAATCTTTTGCGTAACTTATCTGCTCTTCCACGTAAACCCTTTTCTGTAAGTTCTAGACCAAGAAACTCTGCAATTTCATCTTGAATACGACTCAAGTCAGCGGTTTGGGTGAAAACTGCCATTGTAACCTCGTCGAATAGACCGTCTGCATTTGCTCTCTTACCAACTTCTTCCACCAAGGTTGTCTTGCCTATACCGCCCATTCCACATATTACAACCGGATTGATTTGATCATCCGTTTAAAGCATGCATTACATCTATGATGATTGAATTGTTTCTTGATTCAAAGTCATTAGATCCTCCCACAGATGGATACACCCATGACCATTTGAAATTGCTTTGAGTTCTCATGTCACTGAAAACTCCAAATTTGATTAGGTATTATAAATCCTCTGATTTTGGCCCATGAAAGTTTGGGTGGATTGAAATGGGACACCAAAGTTTGGATGATATTGGCCCTAAACCCTCATTAAAGTGTGGGTGGATTCAGCCCAAACCGATATGGAGACACCAAACAAACTCATAAAAATCTTTTTAAAGCCATGAAAATGGTGATCCATAAGATAAGATGGAACCCAACCCAACCTAGGAATTTTGTGTCATGTGTAACGTGCAATTATACTTTTTCTCCTTCTCCTTTGTTTCTTTCCTTTTTTTTTTTTTTGGATTTTGAGGAAATGAAATTCCATTAACTTAGCAAATTACAAACATAGCAAAATACAAACAGGCCCAATACAACAAACAGAAAAAAACAAAAGCACAATCAAACAAAATAAAAGCCCAACCATAATACACAGACTTGAGGCCCAACACAACAAAATCTTTTTGCCTCCATTTGAGTAAATTATTGATGCAGAGGACAACACCCACAATAGAGCACATGGCATAATATCTAATGCGTTAAACTGCAAAATAAGCACATTTTTCAATACAATCGCGAAGTGTTATCAATCCATTCATATTAAAGTATATGTATTTAATATTCGTATTTTAAATACTTATAATAAAATAGATGCACATAACATAATAACTAACGCATTATATTGCAACAAAAGCACATTTTTCAATATAATCGCGTATTTATTATATAGTGTTATCAATCCATTTATATTATAAAACTCGTTTGCAACCTATACTATACATATGCATGAAGTTTACAATTAGAAACAAGAATTTAAGCTCTTTGCATAACCTCAATTTTATTTTTCACAAGATCAGGTCTTCTAATGGTCAATTTCACGGATACATATCTTAGACTTGGTGCACTTTGCCTGCAACCGACTCAAAACTAGCACATTCATCAACGTTGTGTTTATCACAACTTCCCACCTTCATCCATTACGTTTCTTGCCACTATTTTCCATTTGAGGGCATTGTTTTGGATTTCTCTCTCTCTCTCTCTCTCTCTCTCTCTCTCTCTCTCTCTCTCTCTCTCACATGAGACACAAAATTATTAATACCATATACTGTTGTGCGAAAGCGACAACTAATTGTGAGTGAAAATAAAACAACAATAACTAACAAGAGATAAAAGAAACAAAACAACATCAACTAGAATATCAAGATTTGTACTAGTTCGACAATACCTACATTCAGTTTGGAGATGAGAGAGTATTCTCCTATAATCAATGCGAATATACAATAATGTTTATCACTCAATTTTTCAAAGACCCAAATAACCCAAGCTCAATAGAAAGAGAAAACCGATAATACAAAGAAAGAAATAATTTGAGAGAATTTTATTCTCTCCGGCCGAATGGCTTCTTGCTGTTGTCTCTCCCACGTCTCCAATATTCAGTGGCTGCCCATGCTCCTCCATTTATTAAGAAGCCAACTGGTGAAGGCCAGCTACTCAAGTCAGAAAGCCAGCCACCGTTGCATGCCTTTTGTCTCCACGTGCTGGTGTCAAACTCTTAAAAAACACTTATTATTCCTCTGCAACTGCAGCTATCCCATGCCAAAGCTATTATTCCTCTGCAGATATCCCACTTAGAATATGCTTTCGGTGCCAGTGGACAATTTGAGCCACAAACCAACATACACCTAACCTGCTGAGGGAAATACAGATTTGAATCTTAGCCAAGAATAAATACAAACCAAAAACACAGGAAAACAGAGCAAAAAGGGCAAAAGAGAGAGATGGAGAAGGGAGAGAGAGAGGACCTACAAAGCTCACTGCTTGGTGTTACCCTATCCATCCCAAGGCCACATCAATCCCATGCTCCAATTCTCCAAGCTTTTAAACCACAAAGGAATCAAAATCACACTAGCCAATACCATCTTTGTCCACAACACCATGCATAAAATTTCATCATCATCCTCATCATCCACTTCCATTGCATTTGATACCATTTCTGATGGCTATGATGGCGGTGGGATTACTCAAGCAGAGAGCATAGAAGCCTATTTGGACCAGTTTCGAAAAATCGGGACGAAGACTCTGATTGAGCTTATTGACAGGCTCTCTAGCTCAGGGAACCCAGTTGATTGTATTGTCTATGATGCATTCATGCCTTGGCCTCTTGATGTAGCCAAAAAGTTTGGGATTGTTGGAGCAGTTTTCTTCACTCATTCTTGTGCCGTTAACAACATATTCTTCCATGTCCACCAAGGCCTGCTCAAACTTCCTCTGCCTCCTGACTCTGAGATTTTGCTTCCTGGATTGCCACCACTTCAACCTTCTGACATGCCTTCTTTCATCTATGTCTATGGATCATACCCTGCTTTCTTCACAATGGTTGTGGATGATCAGTTCTCTAATGTTGACAAAGCTGATTGGGTTTTCTGCAACACATTTTACGAGCTGGAAGAAGAGGTAACCAGTTAAGCCTATCAACTGGGGTTGTTGCATGCTAATGAAATTGAAGTGATTTGATTTCATGGTTTAATTTTCTCTTCCAAATACATTGCTGGATGGTAGAGAATACTAACCCTTTTTCTTAAATTCAAATCAAAGTTTCGAAAAGTTAATGACTAGCTAGGAGCATCTGATTCAATATGTAAGACATCAGATTGACTATTTTGATTAATTATTTCTTCATAGGTGGTGGATTGGATGGCAAAGCTTTGGCCATTGAGGACAATTGGACCAACAATCCCATCAATGTACTTGGATAAGCGGCGTGAAGACGACAGAGAATATGGTTTCAGCCTTTTTAACCCAAACAGTGATGCCTGCTTGACATGGCTAAATGCAAAGCCGAAACGGTCTGTAGCTTATGTGTCTTTTGGAAGCTTAGCAGAACTTGGAGAAGATCAAATGGAGGAACTGGGTTGGGGCCTGAGGAACAGCAACAACTATTTCTTGTGGGTGGTTAGGGAAAAAGAAGCAGCCAAGCTGCCAAAAGGGTTTGTGGAGGAGACATCTGGGAAGGGTTTGGTGGTTTCATGGTGCCCTCAGTTGGATGTTTTGGCAAATGAGGCTGTTGGATGCTTTGTCACACATTGTGGTTGGAACTCAACTTTGGAGGCTCTGAGTTTAGGAGTTCCAATGGTGGCAGTGCCACAATGGACTGACCAAAGCACCAATGCCAGGTTCATCATGGATGTGTGGAAAATGGGGCTCAAAGCTCAAGCTGATGAGAAAGGGATCGTGAGACGAGAAGAAATAGCAAATTGTGTGAGAGAAATATTGGAAGGGGAGAGAGGGAAGGAGATTCGAAAGAACGCTTCGAAGTGGAAAGAATTGGCCAAGAACGCAGTGGATGAAGGTGGAAGTTCTGATAAAAACATTGATGAGTTCATTGCAAAACTGGTTCAAAACTACTAGCTTTAGCTTTTAGTAGAGTTACCTCTGTGAAAAATAAAAGTGAGGCTATGTAATGTAAGGGATAATTTATGTGTCTGTATTGTAGTTTATGAACTTGTCCAAAATAATTAGAACTTTCATTGTCTGACCAGAAGGATGTGCAATCTTTTTAAGTGGGGACAGCTGCTAGGTCCACAGAAACCGACAAAAGGGAAACTAATAATTTTTGTAAGTTGATTGGTTGGTTTATTTATTGATCTTCAATTCTCACTAGCTAGATCCTCACATTTGGTTGGCTTCTGCACACCAAAATGGAGATGAGAGAAAAATCTCACTGTCTGGTCTTGTTCTATCCAAGCCAAGGCCACATTAATCCATTGCTCCAATTCTCCAAGCGTTTAGAGCACAAAGGACTCAAAGTCACATTTATCACTACCCGCTCTGTTCTCAAGGCCATGCATGGAGGAGGAGGAGGAGGAGGACAATCACCATCATCATTCTTTTCCATTGCATTGGAGACCATTTCTGATGGCTATGATGAAGGAGGGGCTTCCCAAGCAGAGAGCATTGAGGCCTACTTGGACCGTTTTCGGGAAATAGGTTCACAGACTTTGGCTGAGCTCATTGAGGAAATTTCTGGCTCAGGCCACCCTGCTGATTGTCTAGTTTATGATTCATGTATGTCTTGGGCTCTTGATGTGGCCAAAAAGGTTGGGATTGCTGGGGCTGCTTTCTTCACCTTTTCTTGTGCTGTTACCAACATATACTCTCTTGTCCAAAATGGGCTGCTCAAAGTTCCTCTCAATCCAGGCTCTGAGATTTTGCTGCCAGGATTACCACCTCTTCAACCTTCAGACACACCATCTTTTGTCTATGATTCTGGATCGTACCCAGCTTTCTTTAAACTGACTCTGGACCAGTTCTCTAATCTTGACAAAGCTGATTGGGTCTTGTGCAACACATTTCATGAGCTGGAACAAGAGGTAAACAAAATTAGTGATAAGGAGGTATAAGTGTAGTAGGGTTGTGCATACGTAGTGATCAACATCATAAATTGAGGTGGTTTTCGTGGTTTTCGGTTCCAATTGAATTCATTCTTCCGTCCACCAAATTAAATATCTCTCACTGTATGCATCACTAATCAAGGGCTATGACCAGCTTATGAATTTTTTTAAGTCTCTCATTTTTGACCTTATGATTCAACTTCTAAGATAACACCTACTTTCTTTTGTTTACTTTTTCTCATTTTATGCATAGGCGGTGGATAGGATGGCAAAGTTTTGGCCATTGAGGACGATTGGACCAACCATACCATCTATGTACATGGATAAGCGTCATGAAGACAACTGGGAATATGGTCTCAGCCTCTTAAAGCCAAACAGTGATGCTTGCATGAAATGGTTAAATGTGAAGCCAAAAGGGTCTGTAGCATACGTTTCGTTTGGCAGTGTGGCAGAAATTGGAGAAGAGCAAATGGAGGAATTGGGTTTGGGTTTGAGGAGAAGCAAAAGATATTTCTTGTGGGTGGTTAGGGAAAAAGAAGCAGCCAAGCTGCCAAAAGGGTTTGTGGAGGAGACATCTGAGAAGGGCTTGGTGGTTTCATGGTGCCCTCAATTGGAAGTTTTGGCACATGAGACTGTAGGATGCTTTGTCACACATTGTGGTTGGAACTCTACTTTGGAGGGCTTGAGTTTGGGAGTTCCAATGTTGGCAGTGCCACAATGGACTGACCAAAGCACCAATGCCAGGTTCATCGTGGATGTTTGGAAAACAGGGGTTAAAGCTCAAGCTGACAAGAAAGGGATAGTGAGAGGAGAAGAAATAGCACATTGCGTGAGAGAAATATTGGATGGGGAGATAGGGAAGGAGATTCGAAAGAACACTTCAAAGTGGAAAGCATTGGCCAAGAATGCGGTGGATGAAGGTGGAAGTTCTGATAAAAACATTGATGAGTTCATTGCAAAACTGGTTCAGAGTTAGGCTGGGCAAAGCTGCAAATTGCCGAGTACAAGTCCTCATATTGAAAATAAAAGTGAGGCTAGCTATATAATGTAGTAGACTCTGTGATTCTAATAAACGGTTCAAAAAGAAGAAATCTTTTGCAACCAATTTTGTTACCTTCTGCGTGTGTGTATATTGTTGACGTCCTAATTAATCAAGGAGATTTACTTTCTTGATTAATTAAGGGATTTACTTTCTTATTTTTTATATAAGTGATAAATCATTGTACAATTAGGAGATACTTTCCTAATTTTTTTATTATATCTAATTCCTTGTAAAACCCTCATATGTAAACTCCTATATATACCTCCTTATGATGAAGAATAAAGAACAACCTAATACATTCAAACCATGTTCATATTTTAGCACGGTATTAGAGCCAGGTTCTCTTGTGACCTGTGCTTGCACTCTTCTTGAAATTTAAGGGGGAGTGACCTTGACGTATTCTCATGAAGATACTGCATATTTCTTTACTCTAATGACCCCTTCTCTTTAGGGGGAGAGGGAGTGAAGAGAAGTTGTTTTGTCTCTAAACTCTTATCTCAAATTTCTTCAAATTTCTCATATTCAAATCCAAAACCCTAAATCAAATTCCTCATATTTTTTTCCCTAAATCCAAATCCCTCAAATCCTCTTATCCAAAACCCTAAATCAAATTCCTCATTTTTTTTTCCCCAAATCCAAATCCCTCAAATCTAAAGTCCTCAAATCCTCTTATTCAAATCCCTAAACACATACCATCAAATCTTATACACATATATACCTCTTAAATCCAATTCCTACATTAAATTCATACATCAAATTTCTCACATCACCTTCCCCACCTTCTCATATCACATTTTACTTCCGCTGCGATGTCGAGAACCCATACGATTCTCCATCTTGTTGCAGCTTCACAGAAGCATGCCGTCAATCCTGCTGACCTGGCTACCCAGACTCCTTCTATCACCACCACCAAAGGTTCTACTCTTCATACGTCCTCCAAGACATTCGTGACATATATGCACCAACTTGAGGAGGAGTGTTGACGTGAGTCTCCTAATTAATCAAGAAATTTACTTCCTTGATTAATTAAGGGATTTACTTTCTTATTTTTTATATAAGTGATAAATCATTGTACAATTAGGAGATACTTTCATAATTCTTTACTATATCTAATTCCTTGTAAAACCCTCATATGTATATATACCTCCTTATGGAGAAGAATAAAGAACAACCTAATACATTCAAACCATATTCATATTTTAGCATATATATCACCTTTGCAATGACTCATGTTAAAGGTTTCTCAATTGCAAAAATTGCCTGAGAAGCTGTTAGATGAGAGGTCAAGGTACATAACGAAGGAAAGGATGTTTGTTGATATCAGTAGGAAGGTGTCCACTTAGTTTGTTGCCTGAAAGATGTAGGACTGCTTGTGCAGTTAAGCTAAGCCCTGAGGAAACTGGCCTTTTAGTCCCAAATCCGAAAGCTTTATGCTTCGGACTTTGCTTTCATGCTCGTTCCAACACTCAGATTCCCAGAAAGTCATAGACAAAACCTTCATTAGTGTTGTTGCTGAAATCCCATGAAGAATTTAAGTAGCCTTACTACTCTCGACACCGAAGCTGAAACTACAACAAAAAAGCAGTAACCAGAGGACACTGCCAGTAAAAATGCCAGCATCAAGAAAGCCATCAAAACGGGCTTGAATGAAAAGTGCTATTTAATTAGTTAATGAAAGCCAAATGAGCAGAGATAAATATATTATACTGAAGCCCTGAAACTCTCTGGCTTTAATAACCACTAGACATCCAACAACCCAGAGAAGGGGTTAAACAATCAACGACAAATTATTTAATGTAGTTGGAAAGAAAAAGTTGAGAGATATATAAAAGACTCACACGGTCAACACATAAATTGAAAATGCAAGAGTGAAAGTGAAAGTGAGGTAAGGAAATGAGCTCATTGAACAAGTTAATGAAACGGAAAGAAGGTTAAGAGAAATAGGAAGAGATAAGAAAGATTACAAGATATTTGCTGCAATGAGTCGTGAGAAGATCAGCCGTGATCCACATTTTTGGAGACAATTACGGGTCATGTTAGGTAGATCACATTGTAAATCACGTCTCTAATAGGGATGGAGTCCACTAATACAATCGATCTTACCTCTATTAGAAAAGTGATTTACAAAGTGGATGTGGCCCTAGCATTTCTCATATTATTATGTAGGATTGTTGTGGGTGTGTTGAGTCATTTGTGGGTGAGCAATTCTGCTGGAACTGGGTGTATTGTTATCACTCATCAGGCCCATTTGGACTGCTAGCTATCGACTATCCAGAATGCTTGACTGCCCTCTGTTTCCATTTTATTTTAAAACTTTTTTTAAGTTCCAGTTCTTGTGTTACAATTTAATTCATGTTTTGTCCTTTGGGAATTTGTCCAAAGCATCTGCAAGAGGAAGCTCGAACTAAATCGACCCACAAAAAATAATAATAATAATAATAAGTATTAGACACAATAATCTTTACTACTTATGAATCAAATTTTGTTTTGGATTTGGCCAAAGAGGAGACCCAGATTTATTGGGTTTGTCTAAATTAGAAAAGTATAGTTTTACCTTTTTTGTTTAAAAGCCTGGCCAAAATTAGATCTTATCAACTCTCCCTAGACTGGAAAATAGGCCAGTCACATTCCCAATTTCACAGCCGCTTTCCGTCATCGTAACGATCTTATCTCGTTATCGTTCCTAATGGTTGGTTCCTCACTTATTAGGGAGCTTTCATTTTAAAACACTATTTAGTTTACTAATTTGGAAGATAGAAATACAATTTCACTTCATTAGCATAAGGCCAAAGACCAAAAAGTAGCTCCTAATTTTACAATAATGTAATTAAAAAAAACATCAAACTTACATACAATGTCACTCATTCTAATGTAAGCACACTATGCCACATGTCCACCTTTGCAATCCCCCTTCTGGCCAGTCGCCACCATCGACGCCCATTGCCTGCCAGCCGCCACAGCCTATCAGCAACCAACCATTGCCGCCCAGCTGGGGACCAACTCCGTTGCCCTTTATCCACCTTAAAAAATAGAAAATTTTGTGTCATTGAAAGGAAGTGAACATTGACCCTCATAGGAGGAAGCCTCACTCACAAACCACTACACCAAACTTGTTTTTGTGATATTTATTCAGTTATACAACATTTATATAAACAATCGACGGTTTTAAAAAATTCATTTCAACACAGATCCATACAAAAATTGCCAACAAAAACAGAAACTGCAACAAAAATACAATGTAGATATCAGTGATGTAAACAAAAACAAAACAAAAATGCAAAAAACAAAAACAGCAACAAAAACATCACTTAAAACCATGATTAAAGTACTAAAATTAGTGAGGAACAAAAATGCAAAACCATGATGAAAGTATTAAAACAAAAACTGTAATGCAAAAGCGAAAACTACAATGCAGAAACTGAAACTGAAATGCAGAGTATGAGTAAAAATGCACTTACTAATAAGTGAGGAACTAAAAGTCAAAACCATGATGAAAGTACTAGAAAATTCTACAAAAATCTCTAACTAAACAGCACCTCAAACTCAAATCTGATAAATAAATAAAAACCAAAGTAAAAACAAAAACTACATCAAAGAGTTGAAAAATAACTAGAAAATTCAAATAACAATTTGATCAAGAATATACGTACATCAACAGCCAAAAAACTGAGCTTCACATCAAAACATGAATACTGCAATAGAAGAAAAAGATCGAAAAATGCACTGCAATTTGTATATAAAAAACAAAAAACAAAAAATCTCATATTTAAGTGGGATTTTAAAACAAAAACAATGTAGATATCAATGATGTAAACAAAACAAAAAAATGCAAAAAAACAAAACAAAACAAAAACTAATTTTATAGGAACAAAAATGGTTAATTACAATTTAGTACTATGTGGTTACACCTTAAGACATGTTAGTCCATAACTTCTTAATTTTTATAATAACATACTTCGGTCTTTTAAATTTGTTACAATGTGGTTTCACCGTTAGGTTTCTATCAGATCTCTCATTTCCAACTTTGTTTGAGCGCATTATCCACCACGTTGCTGGTTAGTTCGTGATTATATGCTACATCATGTAATATTTATGTCTCTAAAATTTGTTTTTCAAAGAAATAGAATTTCAAATGACTTTATTTATGTTTTATTATCTCATATTATTACTTAATTACTTAAATCACTATAATCATTTTTTTTTACTTCCTACTTAATTCTTCCTTTGGATAAGCTGTTACTACTATGTTTTAAATATTATAAACGTTTCTATTCATATTAATGAAATTTAACCATCGTTTAGCAACAACAAAAAGTACATAATTTCCATAACAAATTAATATAGGAACTTTTAAGATGTCTAGTGGAGGCAATAGACATGACCCTATTTGGGAACATTGAGACCCACTACATGGAAACAAACATGGCACGATTTGCAAATATTGTGGTACTAAAATTTCCTAAATAAATTATTATAGTGTGTTTAACACTAAGATGTCTAAACCAAGCTCGCTATATAATCAATTTAAATCACTCAAATCCACAATGCAATATATTTCCTTCCAATTTTTTGTAATAAAATCCTAGAGAATTGATTAAATAAACATCCTCTAAAGTTTCAATAAAAATTTCCAAGTTTTCTCACAATTTTCTTGATTTTTATACAATGTTTACCAATATCGATATTTTTCCGATATTTCTATCAAAATTTTCGTATTTTTAGACCACTGATATTTTCAAAACTCCCGATACAATCATGTGCATAATTTTCAAGGGGACAATTGTGCATATCTTTTTTTTTTTTTTTTTTTTTTTGTTTTTTTGTTGAAAGAGACTATTTCATTCAAGACAAACACAAACCAAAGATTACAGAACAAGATAAGACCCCAACAGTCAACTTGAAGTAAAACCAATCAGTCAACTTGAACAAGGGTTGTGCGCTATCATACTTTGTTTGACCACATATATATATATGTGTGTTCGGATATACTGAGTGAAGTAAAACCAATCAGTCAACTTGAACAAGGGGGCCAAACGAGACATTCAAACCCACACAAATGGTCTCCAATTTTGGCATATACGTGTACAAATGCATGAAAGTTCATTGGCCGGTTTATTTTGCTCTTCAATTTTCACTATAAATCTTGCAAATGTGGTTGTCTTCTGCACAACAAAATGGAGAAGAGAGAAAGAGCTCACTGTCTGGTCTTTTTCTGTCCAATCCAAGGCCACATTAATCCCATGCTCCAGTTCTCCAAGCGTTTAGAGCACAAAGGACTCGAAGTCACATTGATCACTACCCGCTCTGTTCACAAGGCCACGCATGAAGGAGGAGAAGAACAATCTACAACATCATTCTCTTCCATTGCATTGGAGACCATTTCTGATGGCTTTGATGGAGAAGGTGGGAGTGCCCAAGCAGAGAGCGTCCAGGCCTACAGGGACCGTGTTCGGGAAATCGGCTCGCAGACTTTGGCTGAGCTCATTGACAAGCTCTCTGCCTCAGGCCACCCTGCGGATTGTCTAGTTTATGATCCAGTTTTTCCTTGGGCTCTTGATGTGGCCAAAAGGGTTGGGATTGCTGCGGCTGCTTTCGTCACTGTATCTTGTGCTGTTACCAACATATTCTCTCTTGTCCATAATGGGCTGCTCAAACTTCCTCTCAATCCTGACTCTCAGATTTTGCTGCCTGGATTGCCACCTCTTCAACCTTCAGACACCCCATCTTTCATCCATGTTCCTGAATCTTACCCTGCTTTCCTTAAACTGTCTGTAGATCTGTTTTCTAATCTTAACAAAGCTGATTGGGTCTTCTGCAACACGTTTTATGAGCTGGAACAAGAGGTAAACAAAATTGATGAGGTGGTTTTTGGTTCTAAATTCATTCATTCTCTTGAAAGTTGACGTGCACAACACTGCTAGACTCACCAAATTTGTTCACCAAATTAATTATCTGTCACTATATGCATCACTACCCAACAAAATGAATGGCTATGGCGATCTTATAATTTATGTGTGAAGTCTCCAAATATTAATGACTTCTTTGACCTTAATTATGATTCAACTTTTGAGATTAAACTTGCTGTTTTATTTTTCTCTCCTTTTACGCATAGGTGATAGAATATAGGATGACAAAGTTTTGGACATTAAGGACGATTGGACCAACCATACCATCTATGTACCTGGATAAGCGTCATGAAGACAACAACGAATATGGTCTCAGCCTCTTAAAGCTAAACAGTGATGCCTGCATGAAATGGTTAAATGCAAAGCCAAAAGGGTCTGTAGCATACATGTCGTTCGGCAGTATGGCAGAACTGGAAGAAGAGCAAATGGAGGAATTGGGTTTGGGTTTGAGGAGAAGCAAACGCTATTTCTTGTGGGTGGTGAGGACGTCAGAATCAGTTAAGCTGCCAAAAGGGTTTGCAGAGGAGACATCTGAGAAGGGTTTGGTGGTTTCATGGTGCCCTCAATTGGAAGTTTTGGCACATGAGGCTGTAGGATGCTTTGTCACACATTGTGGTTGGAACTCTACATTGGAGGCCTTGAGTTTGGGAGTTCCAATGGTGGCAGTGCCACAATGGGCTGACCAGAGCACCAATGCCAAGTTCATCATGGATGTGTGGAAAATAGGGCTTAAAGCTCAAGCTGATGAGAAAGGGATAGTGAGAGGAGAAGAAATAGCACATTGTGTGAGAGAAATATTGGATGGGGAGAGAGGGGAGGAGATTCGAAAGAACGCTTCGAAGTGGAAAGCATTGGCCAAGAATGCAGTGGATGAAGGTGGAAGTTCTGATAAAAACATTGATGAGTTCATTGCAAAACTGGTTCTCAGCTAGGCTAGGCAAAGCTCTGGTGTATTTCTTAAAAATTGCCTAGTACAAAGCCCTCTTGGAAAATAACTGCAACTTAATGCATCTCTATTTTCTTTGTGCTTTGTTTTTCAATTTAATTCATGTGTATTGTCCAAAGCATCTGCAAGAGGAATCTCGGACTAAAAATCTCCAAAAGTCTACTTTTATATGTGTGGTTCTAATTCGAAATAAGAAGAGTGACAAAGACAATTGTGTGCATAATTTTCAACCCCAGCCCATCATACTTTGCTATCATATACTTTGTTTCACCACACATACGTGTTGTTAACATATATCAACCCCAGCCCATCGGTACTTAACCAAACCCAAGATAAACAACCTAGCTCACCCCATTTTGAGGAGCAATCTCTACAATATTCTAGAAGCACCAGAAGTGTAAACAGCAAAGTGATAATATGGGTTACCACTAGAAATATCTAGAATAAAGGATATATGTAGATTAGTCTAGGAGAACATAAAAGCCCAAGTTGGTGAAGTGGAAAAGTACGTCAGCAGCTAAGCTTGGAGATTTGTCTGGAAGATAAACAGTTTTGTGACTATAGCTAAGGCGTGGGATAAGCATTGTATAATTAACCAATCAAGAAGTGAAGAGAGTGTCAATAAGAAGAGTGAGCAATAATCTATAGAGTCCTTGTGAGAAGTGTGAGTGTTCTAGAGTTTGTCTCTAGAAGTGAGAAAGAGTGCTTGTATGAGTTGGTCTTTTTTTTGAGAGTTGTCATGTCGTAATTTTTTATGAGTCTAATCCAAGTCAATTGTTTACTTATTTTGTCTCTAATAAATCTATATTAGAGTTGTGTACTCTAATTTTCTCAACACGCATTTGGTTATATCGAGCGAAGTAAAATATATAAAAGGAGAAAAGGCTGTCTAGGCGAAGCACTGGTGTATTTCTGAAAAATTGCCTAGCTATAGCACAAGTCCTCTGGTGGAAAATAAAACTTATAGACTATGTAAGTAGACTCAACTCAAATTGTGTAATTTGATGCATCTCTATAATTTATTTGTGTTTGTTTTGCAATAGAATGCATGTTTTGTCCTTTGGGAGTTTGTCCAAAGTATCAGCAAGAGGAAAAAAGCCGAAACGTCTATAAAAGTAAATAAAAATTTGAGCGAAGCAATTTTTGTCATGATTCATGTTAAGGAACACCCTCATGACCTCATTAGATACAAGGCCTTAAGTTAAGATAAACTTCGAATACATGCAATTTTGTTTTCTTCATATGGATGTACACTATTTAGAATTATGAAATCAGAAACTTTAACCTTATGATTAGAAAAGTTTAGGGACATAAGACAATACCAAATCATGTGCATGTAATTTTCAAGGTGTTAGGTTTAGGATTCTTATAATTGACTTTTCTTGCCAAATGTACACTTTCATGTAATTCCTCTTAGCTAATCTTTAGAAATTAGGCCTTCGGTATTTGCTACAAAGTTGAAGTACATTGAAGAGCTTATGAGGCTACAAACCCAAAGTAATTTGTACAATCATTTGTAATGGGCATCATTAAGAAAATCAACATATGCATCAAAACACTTTATCTAGATGACTAGTCATATATGTAGGCCAAATGTAACACCCCGACTCCAAATTTATCCCATGTTTTAATTAATTTGAGCGAAATTAAGAATTTACCCGTGGAATAGGGGTATTTTAGTCATTTTCTTACCCCGGAAGGAATTTGGGAATTTCGGATGTACCATTGCGTAGAGCACGGCGAGATGAGTTCGTAGACACGTAGTGGGCTCGAATCGGAGTTGTAACGAGAGAGATACGATCCAAATACCCTCAGTGGCAAAACCGTAAATATTTTGAAATGGATTTTTGGTTAAAAGACGGAATTGCCCTCATTTCTCTCTCTCTCTCTCTCTCTCTCTCTCTCTCTCTCTCTCTCTCCCGCGCGTCCCTCTCTCTCTCCTCTGGTTCGCGACGGCTGAAATAGCCAGCCACGTTTTGGTCGGTCGTGCTCTCGTCCGGCCACCAAAGTTGACGGGGTCGGTACCAAAATGACCGGGCCGCCATCCTCTTCCTACCCCAGCCAGGATTGATAGGAAAGAGCTACGTGTGGCTTGATCCCTTAGTAGGGTACGTAGGCAGCCTGGGATAGCGCCTAGGTGCAGCCACGGCCTAGACACCACTTAGGTGGTTTTATCGAGTATGATGCGGACCTCGTGGTTGGTCCCGAAACTTGGTTGAAGTGAGGCTTGTCCTGTGGACTGTGTGAGCGAAGGTGCGCATAAATAAATTTTAAATCTGTTATATGCATGTTTGATGCATGAAGTTATTTTAAAAACAGTGTGGGCAGTTCTGTTAGAATCATTTGAAGGCCGGAGGCCATTTATGTAAATTGCATGAGATTATATTGTGCGTGCTGCTGGTTGGATTATAAAATGTGTTTTATGCAGGTGGAAACTTTGGGGAATGTTCAATGTACAGGGGAGACTCTGCCGAAATTTCGGCAGAAAGTCTCGTGCCCTTAATCCTCTTTGGTAAAAGAGGACATAGTTTTAAGGAGTGAACCCGGCATGGGTGTGATGTCGAGGTCTCCGCAGGATTCGTCTCGGGTTCTGAGAAATTCGGGGCAGGTCCTGTCACCAAATATTTCCAGCACGGGATTTTTAATGAAGGCATGTGATCACTCATGCTAAAAGTTTCCCTTTCAAGTATCTAAATATTTGGGAGCACTTGAAAATAAATAAATAAATAAAAACTTCCTCATCAAGTTTCAATTGGGTAATGAGAAATACCCTTATGACCACGTTCCAAGGCCTTAAGGTAAACTTCGAATACATGCAATTTTGCGAAATATTTTCTTCGATTATTTCCCATGCATATACACTATTCCGAATTATGAAATATGAAAAGCAAATTATAATACAAAACTTTTTTATTAGAAAAGTTTAGGGACACACAAGACCAAATTATGTGCATAATTTTCAAGGGGACAATTGTGCTATCTACTTTGTTTCACCACAAGTTCCGGAAGAATGCTACCCCAGAACTGAGTTGTAGTCAAGCTTAAGCACGTTCAGATAGTTACTTATTTTGTTGACTTAAAAAAGATAGTTACTTATTTGGCTTACTATCCCTTGGTTGGAGATGCTCTAAGCCACCAAAACAAGTGGACCAAGCGAGAAATTTAAAACCCACACAAATGGACTCCAATTTTGGCATATACCAAGGTTTTTGATTGGGGACAGTATGTTGTGCGCAGCGGAAGCGAATTGCAAATGGAAGGGTGGATATGAACCCGTTGAAACAATAAGAGCAAAATATGAAATACAGAAATCCAAACGACACAAGGATTTATACTGGTTCGGTCCGTGTGTAGCTACATCCAGTTCGAAGACAGCGAGAAATTCCACTAGTATCCCAAAAGAGATTACAACCAAAGGAGATTAACCCTCCCACCTATTCTAGGAATTACAGAGTTTAACTCTCACAACCCAAATCCTAAATACACCCAAGTCACTCTCTGGCTAACCACACACAAGAGCCAAAAAACACAGGAATTGTTCTTGCTCACTAGGAAAGAACATACTAAGAACAATACAAAGAAATAAACCTCCCACAAACACAAGGAACAAATGAAGAAGACTCAACTTGTCACGCCCCGGACCCGGGGGTCGGTGGAAATCCCACGCCCGGTGCGTGAGAAAAATTAAAAAATTAAAAATTAAAAAAAGAAAAAGAAATACAAAGAAGGGTTTAAAATAAACTTCTCTTATAAAAATAGCTTCGAAATCTTACAATTTTACAAGAAATAAATAAAGCTCTACTACTCTCATCTAATTCAGCCTCAATCGATTAGTCATTGTCTTGCCCACTAATTCATCTGAAAAGTTAAACACAGTGATGGATGAGCAACCACCGCTCAGTGAGTAGATTATGCAATATGCCAGTCAAGCAATGCCGTTTTACACACTCTAGAAAATGTCATGAAAAGTTACACCAATCCATATCATATCACATCATCCCTTCATATCTCGGTTATCATTTATAGCATGTAACCAACCACGTGACCCCTACTGGTCTTACTGCCCTATGTCCCCATGTGGTACATCTATCCCTCAGATACCCCAACATTGAAGTTCTCATGTTCCATGAATAATACGTACTTTACAAATATTACAAAACAAGCTAAGACCACAACAGTCAACTTGAAGTAAAACCTATCAATTAACTTGAAAGAAGGGCTCTCTCTTTTTTTAGATTTAATCTATATATATAAAGCAAAATGCAGAGAATGGTGAAATATTCAAAATACTAAAAAATGTCATTGGTTAATTCAAACATTAAGAATTAAAATTATTAATTAAATAAGGATAATATGGTAAATTTACATTTTTCATATTAAAAAAAATTAAAATTAAAAACAAATCAGATAATAGGTCCTACTTTTATGGAATATTACTACTCATGTTATCTTTTCTTAATTCTAAAAATAAAATAAAAAAATAAAAAATAAAACCAATTGACACATGTGTGAGCATGTGCCAAGGGGCTAGTTTAGTTTAAAATATAAAAGGAGAAAAGGCTGTTTAGCCTCGGTTGAACTTTTAAATCTCCGTGAGAAAACCATCAAATTTTGCACATTTTGAGCTCTTGGAAGGAAAAAACAAAAGAAAAAGGAAAAACGAACCCAAAGCCGAAACCTCTTGCAGCTGCTATATAACTACACTGTTTGACTTCAAAAACTTAACAAAACTAATTGGCTTCTTTTGACACGGGCATAAGAAGGCTCCCACAGAGCCACGGTTGTTTGCATAACAGTCAGCTGAGCATCGTCACCGGAGTTTGCTTGACAGTAAATATTCGAAGCCCCTCGATCAAATTGGTTGTTGTCAAGCTTAAGCACACACATTGCTAGAGTTGCTTACTTTGCCTACTCCCTTGAAGATGCTCTAAGCCACTAAAACAAGGCGGCACGTGAGATACCCACACAAAGGGACTTCAATTTTGG